GAAAAGTTCAGGCCCAGATTGGCTTAACCTACTTGGTTACATATGAAGACCACAGTAGTAATGACTGAGAGTTGAACTGAAAGTGTGTTTGAAAAACTTCCTCTGAAGAGGCCAAACTATTAAGAACTAATACTTATTGGGCATTTGAAATATTCCAGGATCTCTTTTAAGGGCTTCAATATGGGTCTTATTTCTTTCTCTCACTAATCCCATGATGCACATGATATGTGTTCACTTTAAAAAGAGAGCAAAATACAAGTAAAGACCTATTTATACATACAGATACTGAGAGTTGAAGATTTGGAAAGTGGGTTTAGTGTGAAGCCTGACCTTTAAACTATTACATTTTCTTGCTTCCAAATCAAGAAATGTATGAGGGGAGAATAATGATTTGATTTATAATCTCTCGATTCTTCTTGTTTAGTATAAAATTACAGTGATCTGATCATGGCTTTCTAATGTACAAAATTTTCTGCAAAATAAGTTTTTGACCTAGACGAATAATAGAGAAGAATAAATACTAAGGAGGTATCATGATGAGATCAGTCAGAAAACCTGACTGGTTGGTTAGAAGGCATAAAATCAATGATTCTGAAAGAGTAGCATTTTTGATATGAATGATAAGAAGAATTTGTATAACATGGAAATTTAAATAATAGCATTTATAAGTAAAACTTACAACCAAAGACTTGCTTCTTCCTAAATTTTATAAATTTATAATTTTATTATATGTCCAATTATCTCCAATATAAATAACCCAAAATACCCTGCAAATAGTACAATGTAGAAAAGATGCCTTGGGTGAACACTAACTTACATGCGAACTGTTTTTCCATATACTTATAATAATACTATATCAGAGTAATTAAGCTTGAATTTCTTAATGTTAAGGAGACAGTATGACATCACATATAATAATTTATATTGTACCTTAATTTTCAAGTTATTTGTGTATATAAATTAGTATAGTTCCTCTTTAGTATTTGAGTTATAAACCTTTTTAATATTGACTACATACCCCTCATCACATTTATAAACAACTTTTGCACCATATTCAAATTTATTTCCAACTTCAAGATGAAAAGAACCAAATGGAGTATCCCCAGGATGTCCACAGGGCTTCTCTAAAATAAAAAAAATATATATATATATATATGTTATACAGGGAACACATTTTATGTAGGAGTTGATGGACAAAGATATTTGGCATTTAATTAGAGGATAATTCTGAATATAAGGAAAATTGAAAATAACAAAGCTATTATTTTATAATTGAATGTATTTTTGAATTTTGTTGGATTACTGTCCTCTTTTTAAAAATAATCATGTATTGCTTTGTATTAAAATGATAAGAATGATAGAATTCAACCAGTATTGTTACAATATCAAGTATTAAGCATTTTCACAACTAAAAGATTTCATAAGTTTCACCAAAAAAGTGAAGTACTCAGGGCTGGGGTTGTGGCTCAGTGGTAGAGTGTTCACCTAGCATGCATGAGGCACTTGGTTCAATCCTCAGCACCACATAAATGTTAAATAAAAATATTGTGTCCACCTAAGACTTAAGAATAAATATTGTTTAAAAAATCGAAGTACTTACTCTGACATATCCTGGCTGGATTAAGAGCCACCCATTCTCCATTTCTGCATGCCCTTTTGATGGTGCCAAGGGTTCTGTAGCCAGGGTGGCATTTGTAGGTAGCCTGAGTACCCTCTGTATAAGGCTGGTCAGGCCAGGAACCTAACAGAATTTCTGTATTTCCTATTGGAGGAGGTCCCTGGCAATCTGCAAATAATAAAAGCAAACATATGGTGTGTTGGGGTTAGCTTTGCTTTTAAAAATACCTATATGGTTACTGATCCATCCCTTGTGGGAATGTGTGTCATGGGTTTGTTGTGATGTGTCCCCAAAAGCTCACTTATAAGATAATGCAAGAAAGTTTAGAAGAGAAATGAATGGGTTATGATAGCTTTAACCCAATCAGTGAATTTATCTGTTGATGGGGGGATGGGGATTAACTGAGTGGTAAATAAAGGTGAGTAGGGTGTGGCTGGAGGAGATGTGTCATTAGAGTATATATTTTGTACATGGCCAGTGGAGTCTCTCTCTCTGCCTTCTGATCATCATATGAGCAGCTTCCCTCTGCCACACTCTTTCCCCCTGATGTTTCATCTCACCTCCAGCCCTGAGGAATGGAGCTGCCTATCTACGAACTGAGACTTCTGAAACTGTGAGCCCTCAGATAAATTTTTCCTCCTCTACAATTGTTCTGGTCAGATCTTTTAATCACAGCAACAGAAAGCTGACTAGAACAGTGTGCATGTAAAACAGTGTGTGTGTGTGTGTGTGTGTGTGTGTGTGTGTGTTTAAAAGTAAATTGTGGGATTGAGAGAATTAAATGAAATAAATCCAAGTGAAAAAGCCCTATTTCATGCAAACATATGGTCTTTGGCTATTTCTTACCTTGTTTTGACTGCCAGCTCTGGATATAGATTGATGATCAGAATTTGAATAAATAGAGGAATGGTAATGAAGAAAGGAAGAACCAGATGAACTTTGAGAGATTACGTCTAGCATAAAATTTTCTGAAACTTGTTTAGAATCAGAGTTCCCTGGTGAAGCTTTGGACTGAAATTTCCCATATTCTCAGACAAAAAGTTCCAACAGGAAAAGTGTCCTGCTTTAAGTAAACAGTTAGTATCTTTATTAACATATTTGCTATATTTGAAAATCACTCAGGATCAAATTTTCAAACAGGAGTCAAAGCATCAAAGAAGCAGATAAATTTATCAGTCTTTTGGGATAGAGGAACAAGATTCTAACCATGTTCTCAATTGAAAATATATGAGCGTGCACACACACACACACACACACACACACAGTCCTCTCTTTGCATCAAAAGAAAGAAAACACTCTTGTTGGTGGGAGTAATTATATAAACTTAAGTCATAACATTCCATCTCTTCAAATGAAAATTAAAGCATACATGAAAGGAGAAAAAGTATGTCCAGGAAGAGAATATAAAGTTAGTATATAGCAGACAATTAGCTCCTGAAGCTACAATGCTATCAATATCTTTAGAATAACTCTTTTAAGTATGTATATAAAGAAGACATAAATGAGTAAAAATAAAAAGATACCCAAAACAAAATGACTCTAAAAATCATGTGTTATTCTGAAACTACAGAAAAATATGTGAAATAATGTCTTATGAGTCATATGGACACAGAGGGAAATATATTAAACTTGAAGAAAGTCTAATGTAGAAATGCCACAAGTGAAATACAGAAAGGCTAAAGTGCATAAACAAGAACAAATCAAACAGAGTAAAAACAAAATGTGTCATGTACAGTTAAGTGACACAACATATGAATAACTGGAGTTTCAAAGGAGGGAGAATTGACAGAAGTAATAACTGAAAAATTAATAACTCAAAGGTACCTAAAATTGATTAGAGAAATCAAAACACAAATGTAAATCTTGGCAAACTCCCTGAGTATATACACAAAGGAAACCTATATTCAGGCTCTGATAAAACACACACACCAAAAAACAAAAGCAAAATACCTTAAACACATACAGAAAAAAAATTATTTTGATAACACTAAAATAACAACTGAGTCTATAATAGTAAATGTTGAAGCATGAAATCATTGTCTTACATTTCTAAAATTAGGTGCTTAAAATTTCATTTCTAAAATTAGTTAGGCGCTTAAAATTATATGTTAACTGAGAATTCGCAAAGGAAAACTTATTTTAGGCTCACCAACTCAGGTTTAGTCCTTAAAACTATAAACTGAGAATAAATTCTTTCTTTGTTAAGTAACTGTTGTCAGGTACTTTGGTCACAGAGATGAAAAGCTGACTAACATACAAATTGATACTGAAAAGTAGGGTTGTTGCTGTGAGTAATCTGACCATGTAGTTCAGAAGCATTTTGAACTGGTTTGTGGCAGGAGTTTGATAAGTTTGGAGATGCAGGCTGGAGAAAACTTAGAATGTTAAAAGCAAAGCTTATTAGGTAATTCTGATGGGAGCTGAGAAGACCAGAATGTTGATAACAATATGAACAGTAAAAAGTCTATGCTCATGAGGTTGCAGATGGTAATGAGGACTCTTAGGAAGTGGATTAGAGACAAGTCACATTAGATACAGTCACATGACAGCAAAGAACTTGTCTGCAATTTGCCCATGACCTGAAACTTTGAGTCTCAATCTATGGTTGATGGACTAATTGATCTGGGGGAGGAAATTTCAAGGCAGCACAAATTCAGAAAGTTGCATGAGTATTGCTGGTGGTTCTTAATCCAAGTTTACTATGATAATGAGAAGCAAAAAAAAAAAAAAAATTAAATTAAAAAAAAAAAAAAACAAGAAAGATTCAAAAAGCTTTTCAGTTTTGCCAAAAAAGTAAAAGTAAAATTGGGGCCAAGAAGATGTGGTTGCTGAAGAGATTACCACCACTAAAGAGAAGCTAAGTATTTTGTACAGAGATACAAGGAAAGATTCTTTGAGGGCATCTTAGAAAACTACACCCATAGAAGTCTTAAGAGTATAAAATAAAAATTCATTTGAAAAGAGATCATAGGAGCACCCTGCCTCCATAAGAGGGATCTATGAAGTTGCTTCCCCAGGATTCCTTATATAATGTTCAGTTGTCTAGATTCAAGGGCCCCTGCAACCATAGTCAAGGAGCCCAGCTATTCCTTGAACTGGCAGCAAAAGTTGGCATCATTTATGTGGTGCCACTGTTCAAGAATGTAGGATTTTGGAGTTGGGGATCATGGAGGCCCCCACTGAGGTTTCAAAGGAAGGCCTGGGAGGCCAGGAAAAGTGCAGGAGAGTCAGAATCCTTTCAGGTAACCCCTGAGACAGAAATGCATTAAAATGTGAGAATGAAGCTGCAGCTGCAGTAGAGACCTCAGGAATTAAGAGATTCTAGTAACATGGAACATCTGCCAAGGAAAGCTGTAGGAAGCAATGGGCAGAGCCATCTAAAAGAGAAGCCATGTTGGTTGCAGCCCACAAGGCCAAAGGTGTGGGGCACCAAAGCAAAGGGATTCACATCTTACCACAATCTATGTAAGAGAATACACATTCTCTTAAATCTTCTTTAACTGAACACTATATATGACACTCTGTCAGTTGTTTAACTCACTATTATTTTTGTGCCATTAACCTACTATCAGAATTGCTTATTTTATCAATATTTTCATTTATTTTTTGAAAAATTGATAGATTAAAACCAAAATTATACCTAATAACAGTTCACTATGTGGTATATCCCTGTTTGTATAGTCTGTGCAATGTTTAAGTCAAGCTAAACATCTATCTTCTCAATGATCTATCATTTCTTCATGGTGAAAATATCTATTTAATTGATACTTATTTGCACATATTTATAGGGTCTTTGTGATGTTTTAATACATGTATACTTTGCACAGTGTCCAAATCAGGGCAAATATCTTTCTCCTCAAACAATTATTTCTTTGCAGTTAGAACATTCAAAATCCTTTCTCTAGCTCTTGAAATACACAGTACATTATCATAATTAATACTCATCCTATATACAATGAAAACTTAATGTTTTAAACACTATGATTAAATATCAAAAATATAAAGTTTAATAAATAAAACAAACTTCAAAAACAACATATATATTAGAGTATTTTAAAATTAAAAAAACCTATGCAAAATTAAACAACTGAATAATTACATTCTCCTTTTCAGTAAGAAAAGCACCAATACTACCAAAAATCAAATGTTAAAATGAAAAAAAAAATTTCATTATCTTAAGAACAGTCATTAACATGACCATTACTTGTTAGGTTTATTAGATAAAAGTAATAAAAGTGATGAAAGTCAAATTAAACCCTGAATGGGTTCACCCTTATGAAGCTAGCATTAGACAGGCAGTCAACATAGATAGGTAAATCAAGTCAGGTCGGATCAAGGAGGCCAATTTGAAGTTGGAGTCTGCCCCCCAGGGACTTCAGAGCCCTTCTTCCACCCTTATCATGATAACCTGACCTGTTCCAACCTGTTGCTAAGGTAATCTGTCCCAGGAATTTTCCCTCCCTACAGGGAGTTGTAAAAGTTGTTAATTAATGTATCCTGGGCTGCTTCATCTGGTCAATCCCCCTGTCCATCTGCTTCTCACCTTTTGGTCATTCCACCTGAGCATCTCCTGGCGTAGTCACATACACAGAAAGGAGAGAGATAAAGGGAAGAGAGCAGGAGAACAAAGGAAGCCTAAGACATTAAAAAAAAAAAAAAAGGCAGAATACCCTCACTTCTTAAGATACCAAGATACCAGCCACGGCCTCCTTCCCCCTCCTGGGAGAAGTCTATGTTACCCCTTTCTAAATAAACCCTGCTTTATATGCTTGCCTCAGTGTGCTTCTCTAATGTTATACTTCAATGTGTGAGGAAGCAGGATTCCTCTTGGGTAACTGGTGGTATCACTAGTATGAATGCCTAGCTTCATTTTAAAGAATACACAGAAAACCAAAGAAAAGAGTGAAATCTTAAACTAGCCAAAGAAAAAGTCAGATTCATTTAATGGCAGTTAATGGTTAGACTTACAGCAGACTTCTCAATAGTGGTAACAAGCTAGAAGATATTAAAAGATATTTTTAATTCGGAGAAAGCTGTAATTACCAATCTAGAATTCTACATACAGAAATAATTTTTCAAAAATGAAAATTTGAGCAATAAAATTTGAGAAAATTGCCTCCATAAATTCACATTAATAAAACAAAAACAAATGAACTAAAAGATATACT